TGGTATTTCATCATGTTTGTAGAACTTTTCTGTGTGAGATTGTCCAGCATTCACTGCATATAGAACCCCTTGTATGTTATGTTTTTTATCACCTGTTCAATGAAAAATATTTTTTATTCTGTCTCCAGAATCCTATTCTTTTAGTTAAAAGATCTCCTCATGGTTTTTTCTGTTTCCATCACTTTCAGTAATGCAATGGTCTTAAATGTTAGGGTTCATTGGGATGAACCTTTTAAAAACAAAACACCTTAATTACAAAATTTAACCAATGAGATTAAAACTTTGATAACTACCTTTAATCAATTTTTAAAAATAATACATTTTTTTAAATTTATGAAGAGACTTTAAAACATTTAAATATATATTATATATATATATATATATATATATATTTTTTTCATGAATTTTTAAATTTTTAGTTGCTATTTTAATTTTTATATAGAAAATCTAAATCTTCCATCTTTTTTCTGCCGTTGTCATTAATATAAAGAAAATAAGGATTTTTTATTTACATTCAGACCAATATCCTTTCTTGTTTTTAATATGGCTTTTTTCAAATTAATTTCTGGAATGGGAAAGCTGTTATACATTAAAACAGTCTGCTTGTGGATATATATATATTTACCTGTCTTGTTGTATTATACATGATCGTTTATATATCCTGAATTTATAAATTATAATATATATTATATATAATATTTATATTCAGAAAATATCCTCATCTTTGTTGTTAATCACCTGATCATTTTTACTGTCTGAATAACTGAAAATAGACTGATCGGTTACATTCATAAATTGTCCTTTCATTGTTGTATTTATCATTATAAAATTTTCAAAATCAGGATGATAAAGTTTGTTATTTTGGTCATGAAATCCAAAATTTTAAATGGAATAGTTACCTGATGCCTTTTCTAAATATTGTTCTAGGTTGGGCGAATTTCAACAAGGAACATAAGGCAGTAGTCAATCAAATAATGATAATCATTTTCAGGTAAAAAATTTTGACAACCTAAAGTTGTCTAAATCGTCTCAATGTGGTTTATCTTATGTCAGCCTAGTAAAATAAAGCCAATTCAGAATTTTTTTAAGGTTCAACTTCAATCCTTCATTACTAAACCATTCTCCTTGACATGGGCAGTTTATTGAGAAACAGTTTAAGGTGTAATTAAATAATCATCAAAGTTCAATCATTAATCATAAACTGCCATTAATTTTATCCATACTTGAAATAAACAGTATCAATGATGCCTTTGGAGATAATTACAAATATAGGACAATAGTTGAACAGGAAATAAAAGGTAAAATAATGAAATTTTCATTTTGCCAAAATGGACATACCGTTATTCTTTTTTCAATTTCTTTTTTCTTTTGATATAACCAAACTTTGTTATATAAAACTAATAATTTCCTCGTAAATGTTTTAACAAGTAGATGATGATAATCTTTAAAATAAAATGAATAAATGTTTCTTAACAAAAATAAAACATTATAAAATTTTATCAAATAAAAATCTTTTATATACAGTATGATGGGGTTAATTGTTAAAAACCTTAAAAATCAGTTTTGATCCTTCTGGTTAATCCATAACAAACAGGATTTTTCTTTAATAATTAGTTTTAAAAAAATTTGATACTATCTCTTTTTTTTACCAATTTCCGTTGTGTTTAAGAAAATTTTTATATACTATATGCATGTTTATAATAAAACACGATTTTTTATTCTTCTTTCAGGAAAATAAATATATATTTAAATTTATTAAACAAAAAATATTTTTTTATAATATAAAAAAAATTTTAAATTAACAAGTTTTAAATTCTACAAATGCAGTATTCAAACGGACTTAAATAATATTAGGATCATAAACTGTATATCCAACAAAATCAAGTCCATATAAAATAATAACAACAAGAAAACAATGGGAACAGGTTTTTGGAATAATATCACTAGTTAAACACATATTAAGTTAAAAATAACAGATTTTTTTGGAAATCAAGTTTGAAAAAACACTGAATTATTGTTGTTAGCAAACAACCCATAAAAAATTGGTCCTTTAAAATATTTGCATTGTGATATCTTACAAATTTTTTGTATGTTTCAAAATACTTTTTAATATATAAATTAAAATTTAAATATCACTATCTTAAATATTATTGATATTTCATTATATTGAAATATTGATTCCCAATCAATCACTTTTTAAAAAATTGAAATTATATATCAATATCTAAATTTTATAACTTGGGATCCAAAATTATTTACTAAATTCTTAATCAAAAAAAATGTGCAAATCCTTCCATGCCTGTAAATAGGCATGCCAAGGCATTTAAGCCTTTTTCTTCACTAAATAAGAAAAAATTTTTTAAAAGTTATATAAGGCCTCTTTTTCCCTAAATCTACCCATTAATTTGAGAAATACCAGGATGTATGGATGTTTCCCCAATGGATAATAGCAAGAATTGGATAATTGGAAAATAAGTTCCAATTCTTGTTGGATTTGTTATATTCACTTATGTTTAGTATACTCTTGGGAAGGTTTGAATGTCAGTCCTCTTCTTACCCCATTTATGGGTTAATTAGTAATTGTTTCATTAAATCATCTCCTCCAAAAAAACAAATCAAACTCCTTGTATAAGGCTTTTAGTCATATAGTGTTGAAACAATGTTTCCCATACAATCACTTGAAGTTAAGCAATGTCGAGCCTGGTCAGTACCTAGATGGGTGACCATTGAACAATACTAGGTGCAGTAATCTTGGATGTGTGGATGGTGTTATGGATAATCTACTAGAATTTTTTGGGTTATAGAGGATGAGTTCTGATTTCCATTGGGTTTGTTTTATTCACTTAACACCTTACCATTTCTTTTGAATGTTTGAATCTACCTTTTCTTCCTCCAGCTATGGGTTAATTAATAAGACTTGTATCACTAAACCATTGTTATCTACCTCCACCCCCCAAATTTACAATCTGAAAATTTTTTTCTTCAAAATAAATATCCTGCATTAGTGTTGATAAGCTGTAAAAAAAAAGAATTTATTAAAAATTTATTTTTAACATTCAAAGATAAAAGAAAAGTTTCTTCTTCATTTATAAATAAATAGAAAAAAAAATTTTGAATCTTTAAGTATTTAATAACTTTTCTCAGATTTTTACTTGACTAAATATATATATATATATATATATATATATATATATATATATTATAGTTTGTATGTATAAGCATAAACACTTGTATGTACAAATACCTCTACTAGAGGTTAGCCAATCCCTCAAAAGATTTTTTTGAAACAAAATGTTTATTCAAAACCCATTTCTAGAATCTGTGGTTACAGTTTTGGGAAAATGGTTATCTAGCATGATTAACAATTTGAACAAGGCCAACACTCACCACGATTTTGTGACTTTGTGCTACTGGTCAAAGGTATGCCATCCCCAAGGGTTCCGTCTGCCCAATTTCACTCCACAAAAACTTTGGGTCAACTCGTGATATGGTTTTTTGTAACACTTTCAAAGTGCGATAACATCTGGAAAAGATTTTATTCCCGACAAATCGACCATGGTGAGACTCAAACCTGGATCTCATTAAGCAGAAAGTTTTTGGTTTTAACCATTTCTACCTATACCCATCCTTTACATATATACATACATATATACACAATTCACACATTTATGTATATATATATATATTTGTGTATATGGTGGATACATGTTTGTATATTGTTCATTTATATTTGCTAAATATGTAAATTTTTTTTTTTATGTTTTTATGCATATTTTTATTTTACATGTAAGATTAGTTTTCACACATATGTATATGTATGTGTATTTGTGTATGTATATATGTCTTTTTCTTTAGAATATTATTTTCCTGTGAATTTTAACTACATATATCTATGGCGTGTTTATTTGCATGGATATTACTTAAAAATTTGATTCTCTTTTTATCTATATTTTTGTGCATGTAAAATATTTAATGGTTGGTTTGTTAGATTTATTAGTTTAGATTTATGATCCTTTTTGAGGTTTGATTATTTTAATATATTTGTAGGTGTGTGTGATTGTATATTAAAATTACCTGTATATACATATGTCTCATATAATTTTCAACATTGAAACTTTTAAAAATATATTTATTTTCATATTAATTATTAATTAACCTGTATTGTTAATTAATATACAACTTTGTTCCATTTATTTTCCAGCCCAACATCATCAAAAATGGAAGAAACTATCATGAAACAAAATAATTTTCAGTGATTTTATAACATTTTTATGTTATAATTTTTTTTCATCAGTGGGATCTAATTATATGTATGAATATATATGTATGTATATATATATATGTATCAGTCTGTATGTATATATATATATATGAATATATTAAATATATATATATTATATTTAAATATATTATATAAAATAACGTATAAACAGAAATATATAAAAAATATATATATATATATATATATATATATATATATATATATATATAGTTCATTTATATTACATGAATCATTCATACAAAAAACAGATATAGAAGTTAATGATTTAAATGGCGAGAATACATCTTCGCAAACAATTTTAATAAAATTACATTAACCCCGAACCTGTAGATGAATGTTATGATCCCTGTTTATAAATACCAGTTGCATAAGGTCTTTTAAAATATTTTTTTACAAGCTTTCATCTGTTCCTACAGACATCATTAGGTATGGAAATAGATTTGTTTTTGTTTTTTACTTCTCAATAATAACAGGACAACGAAAATATAGATGTAATCGAAAAAATGTTTTTAGAAATGTGTTATTGTTAATTGTAAAAAAAAACAAATTTTCCATACCTGATGCAGTCATGCAACGATGAGGTTGAAAAAAAAAAATTTTAAGATTTATAAACAGGGATCATAACATTAATCTGAAGGTTAGGACATTTTTATTAAATAGTTTTTTACAATCGCCCGCCAGTAAACGAAAACTCAGATCATGAAATAGCGTAATTCTGATGATTCATGCGACAAAAGGCGGTCCGTCACGATGAGTTATTTTAAATGTATACAATATATATCAACATATAAATATCATATATATATGTGTATGTCGGTTATATATATATATATATATATGCCTAAGTACCTGCTTTTTATTTTTACGTATTTCAGATCCTCCCCTTCCTCTTCATACCCCCCTTTTTCCGCGACGAGGAACGAGTTGGAGGCATTATCCTCCCTTCTCATAAATAAATCCAGATGTAGTAGGTCTATCTCCACCTGCTCGGGCTGCTGGTTTTGCCTCCCGGCTGTTATAGCTCTGACAGCTGCTGCTGCTTATGTTGCTTGTGCCTCAGCTGTTTTGACTTTCACTGCTGCTACTTGTGTTGTCGCTGCCGTTTTTCTTGCTGATGCTGCTGATGATGGTGATAATGATGTATCCGTTAACAATAACACATTTAAAAAAAAAAAAACCCATTTCGATTCGTATTATATTTTTCGTCTCGGATGCTACCTAAGTTTTACCAAAAACAAAATAATTTCCATACCTGAAGATGACTGAATATACAGTCGAAAGTACTTGCGTATTAAAGAAAGACCTTATACAGCTTATAATTAAAAAATCAAAGAAATGATGACGCTGCGGCTAAGGCTGCTGCTGCAGTTGCTAATATTGCTGCTGCAGTTGCTAATATTGCTGCTGCTTTGGCCGCTATTGTTGATGGTTTGGCCGCTTCTTTTCCTGGTACGTCAGAACCATTGGGGACCTTCTTAGGTACTTTCACTCTGGTGTTGGTTGCGTTGTTAGTGCCAGATTCATAGTCTGACACAGATTTGCTAAATATCCGGCAGCACCACAAGCCCAGCAGTTAGGGCGGCGGCTCTTGACGGTCACAAAGATGTTACGGCCGCTGCAAGTTGTAACATCAAGAACCTCATTAAATTTGGATCAGCTCAATGTCACCAGGACTTCAAAATTACTGGTGGCAATGCTCGACTTCCATTTTCTTGAGGATACCCGCTCTGCCGGTCCGAAAAGAAGGCCTCCAAATGGTCCTCAGTAATATACATTTGTACCCTAGGTAATGTTATGCGGGTTTTCCGGATGTCCATGTACACCGTCTGGGAGCCTCAGCGTATTGGCGGTGAGGATACTCCAGGCTAATGTCTTCGCCGCCTAATCCGTTGCCAGGAGAATGTCCCACACAGCGTTGGATCTCCTGGCCAACACTTTGTCACCTATGTTCAAGTCCTTTAACGCATCTTCCATTGTCTCCCTGCTGGCAGCCATAATTTTTCTGGACTTGTCGTCGGCCGTTAACAGGGAGATTGTTCTCGCTGTCACTGCCTCCGTAACCGAAGGCAAGAGCAAAAGTTCATTGCCAGAGATGGAATCCGTTTATTCCTTTCTTAGACCCATATAGTATTCTGGGCTTTTTTTATTTTATTTGGGTCTGCCACCCATGCCGATGTCGATGGCTGGGCTGGCATTGGTTCATTTTGCTGGAAAGACTCGGTCATTACCGTGTTAGCCTCACCACAGCAGATAAAACACAAAAGTTCCAAAAACTGACGTGTAACAATGCAGTACATAAAACAATCCACAAGAACAACTCGGACAAACAAAAGAACAATAAAAAGAACGTCAAAAAAATACAGCGCTCACAATCTCCTTCAAATAAATCAAACTACCAAATCACAATAAGAATCAGTCAGTATTAGAATCAATTTCAATCTTCCAATTTTATTAGGAATGGATATTTATTTTGTATTTTTAATACAAAATTGTAGCACAAGGCCGAAAGGAAAGTGGGGAAAAATCTGGTCATCACTGACTACCCTAGTTCTAATCACGACCCATTCTTTCAATACAATATACTCATTCACCACAAGAAAATGTCCATCTCCTCCCAATCAAACATATAACACAATACCACATATACACCAGGGACATACAAAACACCCCATGAAATAAAAATTCAATAAATCAAGCAGCTCGCTTCTTAATGGATTGGGGAAGGAAAATATTCAGACTGAAACAAAACAGATATTAGCAGATCTCGTTCACCCCTAAAAATAATCTTTTTTTTTTACAAAAATATATAAATATTTCCATGATGCATGCAATGATGGGAGCGGAAATGAACCTCAAAAGAAACTAAAGAATGAGACAAAATATTTAGACTGAAACAAAACAGATATTAGCAGGACTCGTTCACCCCTAAAAATAATGAGAGTGGCCACTGTATTCGACAGAATCAAGCAGCTCGCTCCTTAATGGAGTGGGGAAGGAGAGATTAAACATTGGAGTGGGAAAAACAAAGTCTGACCCACCCGGGATGAAAACAGGGCACAAAAAACAAACTGGGGATTTTGGGAATCTCGACCAGGGTCATAACAAAAGCGAATGCCAGGAAGCAGACAACGAACAACACTTATTCACAATTAACAGTTTAACTTAAACAGGGGAGAGTCCACTAGAAGCCACCCCGTTGTGCTCAAGAGATCAAAAGAAAATCAAGGGTAGCCCTGTTGACGCGAACCAGGCTCTGTCGATATCAAACGATTTCTAGATTGCTTAGAATAACGCTCTTATCGCAAGATTTCCTCCATTCGAGATGTCCATACCAACATTCATGCCACAGCTAGCAATGTGAAAAACACCTCGTCAACTTGCCAACATAATCCCAGGAAGGCGCACCTGAGGACAATGGTAGAAGGAGTGCAATGTCGTTTCTTCTAAACCAAGGTCACACCGATGACAGTCGGGCAAATCCACTTAGAACCATCTGGAGGCTACGTCATGGAGAGGTATCACTTGTCGAACTCACTGCCTTTGAGCAGAGAGAAACCCAGACGAGGCTATGCCGAAGGACAGAGTCAAGTCTGGTGGAGGTAGACAAACCAGACCCTGTTCATGCGGGGTCTACGGTGAATTTTTGCCCAAGCCTACGGGCTCGGAATCGCCCCACATAAAAAGAAAACGGCATTGTGCCACATCCTGACTTGTGGAGAGGCTTAATTAAATAACCTCAGTCCTGATCTGCCGATTCAGTCGGATCGTGGCTGACTCGTCGAACTCTCTGACTTCGGGCAGAAACGAACACTGACGAGGCTGTGCCGAAGGGCAGAGTCTAGTCTGGGGATGTAGAAAAACCCGACCTCGTGTATGCGTGGTCTACGGGGAATTTTTGTCTGTGTCTACGGGCTCGGGATCGCCTCATATATAAAACAGCATTGGGGCACCTTGAGGTGGTGTAATGGTTATTGCTAAAACAATTACGACTTAGTGGGTTCGATCCCCACTGGGTTCGCCCTACTTTCGACCTTGTGCCACATCCTGCCTTGTGGGGAGATTAAGGTAATAACCTCAGTCCCGATCTGTCATGTCTAGAAGATAGACCGCCACGTTAGCTTGTCCAAACTTGCTGTTGTGTGTCTTCGCCGATTCTTAGTGAACTTTTTGCTTTCTTACTGTTAATTTGCCTTGAATATATTGTTTGTTTGTTTGATATTATTTCATTTTTGCGCTAATCCTTTTTATTTTCATTGCAAACTTTGTTAATTCTGTTTGTTGGATAATTCCGTTATTTATTTTCCATTTGATCATGGCTTCTATACTCCACAATTACAAACTGAAACATGGAGAGAAAGACAAAAGAATATGAGTAACAGACGAAAAAATTAAAAGAAAACACGAGAAAGTAAACCGATGACACCTAAAAGGAAAGGAAGAAAAAAGAAAAATAAATGAATAAAGGGTATTCGAATTTCAAGAAGAAAACGAATTAAGTTAAACATAGACATAATAAGTGTTATAAAATGTTTGTCTTAAAACAATTTTTCAGGAAAATAAGCTTCTCAAGTCCAGCTAAATGTACCATCTATTTTAATTGTAGCTGTTGTTAGAAGTCTTCAGGTGATGTAGTTTTTGTTATCGGGTAGAACTTTGCATTGGCTACATTCACTTCGACAATTTTTTTTTTCTCTTAAAAATGAGGTACCTCCAATATTTACAGAATGCTAAGAACCATATTCCGTCACGCACATACTTATAGACCGTACTGACTGTAACAATATCTGGGAGTAAATCTATAAAATAAAACAAATGAGATTTTCAGATAAAAGAACCCGAATAAAATCCTTAAATATATAAAACAGGTGAGACTTCAATCTCTTAACCCCCCCCCCAAAAGTATTCGCTTTTAATTAACTGAAACGGTGTTGTTGGGGAGAAGGTGGAGGCAAGTAGAGTTGAATTTGCTTGAATCGTCCGGACCAGGTTTGAAACGGATAGGACGAACACACGGCAGTGCGCATGACAGTTTGGCGGTTGGCCGCATAGCATGCAGGGAAATATACAAAAATGGCGACTCACGACAATTAATGAATGGTGATCTAATGAATAGCGAACGTGGTTGGGAGGGGGGAAAGCGTATGCGTGCATATGTTTCAGCATATACGTGGTTATACGAAGATGCGTGACTGTGTTTACGCTTTGTGACCATTGTATGCTTATTGACGTATCAATATTTTTAGCAAAATAATTATCTTTATTTATTTAGAAACAGAAATTTGTTTTGGCTTTTTTATCAGCTTAATTATTCTGCGTGATTCTAGGTCTATTCAAAATTAATCTATCTATCTATCTATCTATCTATCTATCTATCTATCTCAGGCTGTCTATCTATCTATCTGTTCATCTATCTATCTATCTATCTATCTATCTATCTATCTATCTATCTATCTATCTCATTGTGTTCATATCTATCTATCTAACTATCTATCTCATTCTGTTTATATCTATCTATCTATCTATCTATCTATCTATCTATCTCATTCTATCCATCTATCTATTATCTATCTCTCTATCCTCTATCTCATCTATTTCTATCTATCTATCTATCTATCTATCTATCTATCTATCTCAGGCTGTTCATATCTATCTATCTGTCTATCTATCTCATTGTGTTCATATCTATCTATCTATCTATCTATCTATCTATCTATCTAATTCTGTTCACATCTATCTATCTATCTACCTATCTATCTCATTCTGTTAACATCTATCTATCTCATTCTGTTCATATCTATCTATCTATCTCATTGTTTTCATATCTATCTATCTAACTATCTATCTATCTATCTCATTCTGTTTATATCTATCTATCTATCTATCTATCTATCTCATTCTGTTCATATTTATCTATCTCTCTATCTCATTCTGTTTCTATCTACCTATCTATCTATTTATCTATCTCATTGTGTTCATATCTATCTATCTATCTATCTATCTATCTATCTATCTATCTATCTATCTATCTATCTCTGTTAACATCTATCTATCTCATTTAAAGTTCAACATCTATCTATTTCTATCTATCTATCTATCTTATCTATCAATCTATCTATCTATCTATCTCCATCTGTTGATTTCTAAATATCTCATTCTGTTCATATATATATCTATCTATCTATCTATCTATCTATCTATCTATCTATCTATCTTATAGTCATCTATCTATCTAAGTATCTATCTATCTATCTATCTATCTATCTATCTATCTATCTATCTATCTATCTATCAAATCTAAAATTGACATTTTTCACAAGTTTCATTCATACCACTGTTATGATATTTTCAATCGATTTTACAGTCCTGGAGCAGAAATGAACAAACAATCGAATGTTTGTTGATTTCATAAATCCATTCGATACAAAAATCAATTTTTGTTTTGTCGTCATACTGAAAAAAAAATATAGCCCTGGAAAATATATTTTTTGCTTCGATTAAATTTAATGATGCCACGTAAACGTGGGTAAATGTCGGTGACAAGCTGTCTTGAAGCATGTTAAGGAGGGAGTCATTCCTCCCCCCCTATCGTATTTGTTCATTTCTTTACAACGATGTTTTACTTAGCATACAAAAACTGTGATGATGGCGTATCATCATCATTATCATGCACATCCTTCAACCTCTCTATAATTGGTCGGAACTTGAAAAAATAACAATCTCTTTCCACATTGTTCGGTCCTTAGTTCCCAAGAAGATCCGCAAATCCATTTGATTCTTCTGGAAGCCGTGATGCCCTATCCAATATTTTTACGAGACGACACCTCCAGAAGGAAGCCAAACAAAGTAAAGATGAAACAACCTTCTATGTAATCCTTTTTTTTTTCACTTCTATCAATGGTTTCAGTTCTCCGTTTAATTCTCATAAGCGTAGTATTCCAAAATGATGTTCTTGATAATTGGTAAACATATTTGTATAATTTGATGCAGTTGTCTTTTCAAACGAACAGATGTTCAAGTTTCTTCTATTTTATAATTAAGAGGACTGGTTCAAATTAATGTTCGAAAGGTTTGTTATAATTTTTGAGAAGAATGGGAGGTTCACAGATTCATAGATAGATAAATATAAACAGAGAACATCATGATATAATATATATATATTTCAGATATATAGATAGATAGATATTAAAAAATGGATAAACAAAGATATAGATAGATATTAGATAGATAGATTAGATTTAATTTGAACGTATATAAATCATTTTAGATAAATAGATAGATCAATAAGATAACGAAAATCACTATGGTTTATCAATTTATTACATTAAAATCCCTTTTCACACTGCTCAGTCCTGCATTGCCGTTCCCAGATCCTCAATGTCCAACTCCGAGTCCCGAGCCATGATGTCTGGGGAAGTCAGCTTTTCCGAGAAGACACCTCCAGAAGGATAATCCATAAAAGTAAGGATGAAATGACCTCCCCGTCCGCAATATTCAATTTCCGGCAAAACATGTAATCTTTGAATTTAGTTTGAGCTTAAGAGAGATTGGTTTCAGTTCTGCGAAAAATTCTCATAAGCGTTGCATGGAATCTCCAACTGATGTTCTGGATTTTTTAAAAGTAGATTTGTATATGTTCCGACTAGTCGTCTTCCAAGATGAGCAGATAATGTTCCTTTTTTATCCATACAATCAAGACTTGTTCAATTAATGTTTTTTAAAATTTTTTTTATTTTCTTCATAAAATTTTCCTCAAAATATCCCATAGATAGATAAAAATAACTGAGACTATATATAGATAATATATAATGAGTACAATGACTTTATAGATAATATAATGTGTACAATGATTGATAGATAGATAGATAGATAGATATTTATATATTTATATGATATATCTATGTTTTTTATTCGAGATAATTTAATAGATAGATAGATAGATTTATAAAATGTTATTAACCAATAACTTAGATAGATGATATATAAAAAATAAATGATAGATAGATAGATAGATAGATAGATAGATAGATAGATAATGAAAACTGATAGATAGATAGATAGATATTTAGATAGAAAATATATATAGATAGATAGATCATCCTTCAATAAATATTGTTGGTCGGAACTCCATTAACAATCCCTTTTCACAATACTCGGTCCTGCATTGCCGTCGCCAGATCCATCCCTAATGTCCAACCCCGAGTTCCGACCTATAATGTCTGGGAAAGTCAACTTTCGTGAGACGATAGAAACTTATAGAAGAAATGGAATAGAAGTAAGGATGAGGCGATATATATATATTTATATATTTTAAGCGTTAATATTGAGTCTATAAACAGTTCGGGAATCGGTAAACATTAGTGGTTCATATTTCAGTCTATAAGCATTTACTTGGTAGGTTTCCCCTTTTGGGTGGGCATATAGTTGGCTAATCTTAGGTCCCCGCCCACAAAGCAGGCGTATCGTCTAAGTGTCGATTATCCAGCGTGCCCCAACCTAGATTGTCTTGTAAATGCAACCCCCTCTAGCATGTCGTTTTCTCACTATCTTCAATCACGAATTTTCTGTTCATTTATCTGAGAGCTAAAAAATACCTGACCCACAAATAAATTATGGCGTTTTCTTTATCAATGTTAATATAACAGGAAAGTCTTCTTCTTCTTCTTCTTCTTCTTCTTCTTTCGTCTGCCGTGTCTTTTCGACTCTTTTGTTGCTCCAAGTGACTATTTCTTCATTTACTATCCTCTTTATCAATGTTCTGTCTGCCATTTTTTAAAAAATCAAATCACCCTAAGAAAGGCGATAATTTACTAAGACAAATAAAAAAACTTACTGACGTGAAAGGACATGAAAGAAGAAAATTAAGGAACTGGAAGTCCAATTCTAAACAGGAAACAATGGAAAACTTCAAAAGACAAGGAAGTTTGTGAACCGGACGATAGACGAAATTATCTACACCTTTGTGCAAATAAGTTGAAACAAAACGAATAATTCCGTTATTATTTACTTTTTCTGTATTTTTTTCCAAGCAAAATGACCCAGTGCAAATAACGGTATCTTATTATGTCCATTCTATGAAATATCGTTCCTTGCAGATTGAAACAGATTTTTGATTAGATTTAAATAATTTAAAGTTTCAAAACCAGTCGATAGTACTTTGATTTGCTCACTGGTAAGGCTTGCCAGTGTGTTTGTGCAGCGTTATAATTTTCGTACGCTTCCTTGGAGTAACATCCATCACAGACAATACCCGTAGGACAACTAATCGACAGTGAAGACAATAGAGTCTGGGCGTGATGAAAATCTGATGCAATCACGGATGACGCAATATCTTTCAAGGCCAAACAAATTTCATCATACACGCCGAAAATAGATTCATATTACTGTACACTAGAGCAAATATTCTAATCTGAGGGAAAAAATAGAAATCGATTTCGCCCTGTCACTCCAATCATGAAATAAAGACATTCTCTTGAATTAATTTGTTTTCTTTTTATGTGGCATGTTCTTTCATGACGTAGGCGATCATGGCACTCCATTTCCCTCTATCCCTTGCAGCTCTCAACAAGTTATGCTTCTTCCCCTAGATCACGTTCTGTTATCCACTTGCTTAAGGCATGTCACGCGTTGTTTTCCCTTGTTTCTCTTTCACTCTATTCGACCCGTGAGTATCAGATTCTCCAGACCCTCCTTCCTCATTATGTGCCCCAGTAACTTTAGCCGCCTCTTCCTGATGTTAAGTATAAGCCTCCTCCTTGTTTCCAACCTCTCATCGTTGCTCACACGCTCGGTCCAGGACATCCTTAGCATCCTTCTGTAGAACCACATCTCCGTCACCTCAAGTTTCTCCTTCATCTTTGAGGAAATCGTCCAGCATTCGCTGTCGTATAGAAGGACAGATGTCACGTAACTGCTCAATGTTCTGTTCTTTTCTTTGTCATAAGTTTTCTTTTTGTTGTGACCAATTAAATGGCTAAAGAAATAACAAAACAAGTGTCGCAGATATATCGTATATTAAACAGTAAGTTCAACAGAAGAGTATTATTTTGTATTTTGCAAATTAAATTGTTGACCCACGTTCACTCTATTCGACTGTTAATATTTAACAGCCCCCTCCACGCGAGATGTATGCGGCACAAGACCGAGTTTACCGTGGGACAAAAAACAAAGATGAAATCTGCCATATTGTCGGTCCCAAACTGGCATTTCGGTGTCAGTCTCATTCCCATAAACTAGCTTCACTGGGCATTTGCTAGAGATGTTTTCAGGGCAATAGTTATTATGATTCGTTTCTCTTGGGCGATTCAGTTTCAGGAATTTAAGCGCGGAAACTGGGTTGGCCCATAGGTCTCATCATCTCAGACCTGAAATTGCTAGGTGCAGTCTTAGGTTCTATTCTAAATCTTCTCGCACAGTACACTTTTTTTAATCCTGCTAAATTATTGTCCTATTTTTCTTCTAAATATATTAAATAATCTTAGTGGCTTTAAAAAATGATTATATAAAAAATGCAGTTGTAATATATAGACAAATATTGTTTAATATTTTTTATATTATTTTTATATATATATATATATATATATATATATATATATATATATATATATATATATATATATATATATATATATATATATATATATATATATTCATGAATTATTCACACAAAAACAAATGCAAAGGTTAATGATTTAATTGGCGAGAAATCCATCATCGCAAACAATTCAAATAATATACAAAAACCTCCGAATCCGTTATGAATGAAAAAGATCCTTGTTTCTATAAATTTCTGCCGTATTAGTTCTTATTTTTACTACAAGCTTTCGTCTGTTCCTACAGACATCTTCAGGTATGGAATAGATGTTGTTCTTGTTTTTTCTCTTAGTAATAAGAGGACAACGAAAATATATGTATTGTTGTATCCGAAAATGCTATTGAAAAATGAGTTATTGTTTTTTGAGCGCGCAATAGCAACGCTGAGTTTGATTTTAAATTTTTTTACAGTTGTGCGTTCATGTACAAATATGGTGATAAACGAATTTTTTACTGGTAAATTTTCTGTCAAAGTGGCATGAACTATATTTTTCAATCAATAATTACAGTAATGTCGCACTTATTATCTAAAAAGTCGCACTTGGATCAATAACTATATATATATATATATATATATATATATATATATATATATATATATATATATTCATAAAAAAATCAAATTCTCTTAGTAACTGTGTGTTTATCTAAAATAAATACGCATAAAATTCAATAATTCCTTTCGTGCGTCAACGGCTTAAGAGTAAA